TTAAAAATCTTACAACCAACATCTGAGTGTGTGTGTGTGCGAATGAGATGGCTTACAATGTGTGTGTGTGTGTGTGTGTGTGTGTGTGTGTGCTTGTTGGCCTAATGAAATTGTTGACAATTGTTGGCTTCTTATCAGCAGCCTGGCATCGAACAAGTTCAACAAACATTGCGTATACGCCATGTGGCAGCCGGCCATGTGTATTATGTTGCCGCGTCATAAATTTAAATTCTAATTAATTTAATTATTTATTGGTTTGTCTCACAGCAACAGCAAGAGCTACAAAAACAAAAGCAAAACCGAAAAAAAAAAACAAATACTAAAAATTGTGCAACATTTTTCGCAGTACGGCCCGCACGCAGTTTGTTGGCCGTTGGCCAAACATAGCCAAGACCGGTGACAACTTTTCGGGCAATGCAACAAGTTGCGAAAATATTTGTGCAGTGACACACTGACAACTGAACACGCACACACACACACACACACAAACACATCTATATACCTTAGAGCGATCTTTTGTGCGTCTGTAGCTAATTGCTCGACTCGGCCCCACGTTTGAATTATGGAATACATTTTTAATTTGACATTTTCCAAAAAGTCAGCCACTCGTCTGGCTGAACTTCATAAGCAATTAATTTAACGGCAAATAAATTGAATGCGCAGCAAATAAAAAAGCAACAGTTTTGTAAAATAAAACAAAGTCAGGCAAACATACTAGAACAGCATTTTATGCTGCGCCTCATTGCATTTTTCTCAGACATTTGCTTCGCCCCCTTCCAACCCCTCCTCAGTCGCTTCTACTCCATCTGTCTGTCGCTGTCTCTGTCGCTGTCTCTGTCGCCGCCTCTGTCTCTGTCTGCTGCCTCCATTGCCGTAATTGAGCGCTTCACGCTGTGCAACAACTTAATTAATTTATATTTTTCTAGCATTTAAGTCGCGTTTGTATTTTATATTATGTATCTCGGCTCGTATTTTGCGCATTACAAGCGCTGCTCATGTCCAATTGGCTTAGACTCAGCCTCAGACTCCGACTCAGAGTCAGAGTCAGGCTTCGCTGCAGCGCGTTCGCTTCTCAATTTTCAATTTCGATTTTCTATTTTTTATTTTTTAATTGCAAATATTTGCTTGCCATGCCAATTTGTAGCCGCATGATTGCAAGAATTTAATGGCGTTCATTAATTGGCCATAAGAATTAGTAAATGTTGATCGTAATCGTGCAATGATTGCGTATTTATGAACTGGCCTAATGCAGTCGCAGCATCTAGTGGGAGGGAATTGCGAAAAGTGAGGATAAATCATCTCTCACAGTTAAAAAAATGCCGAAAAAGACAGAAATGCATGCAATCCAGCATACAGCCTTCAGAGATGAGAACCTTAATCCATTTAAAGGGCTCAGAAGATATTAAAATTATTTTGGATTCCCCAGCCTAACTTAGCCCTTAGTCTTAAAGAAGTGCCCAATGGGACAGAACAGATCTCACATGTGCTTGAATGTGCTCTTAGAGATTTAAAAAGCAACTGATCACGGATCAGTCCCTGATGAATGGACTGATCACTGATCATTCATGATCACGCGGTCAAACAAATTTTACGAACAAGTAAATCGCGGAAATCTGCCTTTTTGGTGTGGTATAGGCTTATGGAGCCTCGGTGGCGTAGTGGATAGCGCACGCGCACACCAAACAAGAGGTCGTGGGTTCAAGCCCCACTCATGGCGAGAGCATGACCCCCGAACTAACTTTCTCCTCTCGACAAACTCCCCGAAATACATGCCTTCAACGTGTCGTGGTCATTTTAATAACCACCAAACACATCCATCCACGCTATCTGGACAGCAACAACAGTAACCCACAGCCACAAGAAGCCTCTCCCCGGCGGCGACAGGTGGCAGCCCCACCACTGGCATAAGTCGCATCTGGCCAATCACTAGTTCGATTGACAATTCACTGATTACCGAAACTGATACAAGAGAAATAAAATTCAAAGGGCTCCACTACTTCGATGACGACCATAGGCAAAAACGGACAAGAATCGGACAATGGGACGTGAGAACTCTAAAGGAACCATCCAGGCTAGCACAATTAGAAGGATAAATGGACCTGGCGACGGACCACCCTTCTGGAATGAATCCCATAACAACATCACATGGGACACAGCTACGGCCAGAAATAGAGTTCGATGGAAAAGCGCTTGTAGAAGCCGTAAGCTCCCAAGTGGAGTAAAAAGGAATTATAAAAAAACAAGTAAAAAAGCTAAAGTCGGATGTCCCGACTTTGAAATACTCTGTACATATGTTTACAATAATAATGGAAAATAAAAAAAAATAAAAAAATAAAATAAACAAGAGAGAACGCTACAGTCGAGCAAGCCCGACAGTGTAATACCCTGTACCCAGGTAAACTTCCGTCACTGAGTTATATGCGCCCAAAGCAGCAGCAAAAAGAGGAAGAAGAAGAGCGAACTTGCTGCAGTTTGTGGGGGTTGTACTGGCCAGAATTTGTTTTGCTAATAACTTTTCTTAGAATTGACCGAATTAAATAAAATTTAAACCAAAAGTAGATAATTTTGTATAGATTGCGTGGCTTATATAGCTTTTGAAATGTGGACAGTATTGACTGAGTATAGGAAAATCTGGATACCAACTTTGGTTATTCCAGCTTTTATAGTTTCCTAGATCCTCGCGTTCATCCAGACGGACGGACAGACGGACGGACATGTCTAGATCGATTTCTCTCGTCATGCTGATCAAGAATATATATACTTCTAGAAAGTGAGTCACTTATCAATGTTGTATTCATCCCGAATGCCCGCGGAAGCTTGTTTTAGCGGTTTCCCAAAATCTTACAGTTCATTTTCAAAATATTTAATTATTTAAACTTTCAATCTGTGAAGACTTAAAAAAATGTAATAATAGAAATTCGCAGCTGGCATTAAAAAAGTGTTAATATAAAACAAAACAATTCGAAAGGGCTTTTATCTTCAATAAAATAACTAATTTACTGCACACACTAAATGGACATACAGTATTATTAGTCAGAAAACTCATTATTATTTACACTTTCGTCATTCGCTGCCATAATGAAATGCTCGAATGCCTCATTAACGCGACAATAAAGACATTAAAAAATACTTTTCAATGTTCTTATATAACGACGGTAGCCAATTTGTGGTGTGAGCATATTTAATATGCAGTGGCATTAATTTATTAGGCAAGCCAGTCATAAAAGCAAACAAAGCATTAAAAGTTTTATTGACCAAGCGTTTGACCCACAAAATGGCAACATAAACAACCACAACCCAATTTTCAAACAATAAAATAAAAAGCCGTAGTCGCGTTGTCGCGTCTGCCCATCAGTTATTCAAATAACATACAGATGTGTATACTTTTATACATATAGTACATGTGTGTGTGTGTGTGTGTTTGTATATGCGTTGACAATTTATGCCACACAGGTGAACGATTACCGGTGCATTGTTGAGGCAGCCATGCCGCCAAAATGTGCCCGAGATCAAAATTCAGCGATACGAACCGTTTGGCAAATTGAGCGGCGCGCGATTTTTGATTTTTGTTTCTGTTTGTTTTATGTGCACTTTTATGTTTGTTGTTGCTGTTGTTGTCGTTGCCGTTGTCATATGCAAATGCTAACATGCTGCAGCAAAATTTGCATACCAGAGAGCAGCCGGCGTGCCAAACAAACATTTGACAATAAAAAGCTAAAGACCACTGACTGTCTCACACAAATATCACTCATACGCGCTGTGCGCCAGCGTTGACCGATATTCAGTAGGTATCAGTGAATTTCTCCCTATCAGAGTATGTTCTCTGCATGATATCGAAGTAAATAGACAGTTATCATAAAATTTCAACCCAGGACAGATATTAGATTAAGAACAGCACACAAAAATTCACTTTAGTCTCAATCCTAACCTAGTCTCAATAGAATGCAAGTAAAATACCCGATGATGGAACTAATTTTAATTTACGGATTATGTTCTTCCATTAACGAAGTTGTTGATTTTTGTTTGTTATTCAAGTTTTCTACTCTAGGTTTGGTTCAAACATCTAACATCTACTCTGTTTTTAATTGTTTTGGAATTAGTGAACAAATATATCGATTCTGTTCTGTTTTTAACAGTTGTCGAATTTTTCGAAGAGATTTATGAGGTTCATTTCCATAAAGTTGTTATTGCAGACGCAAATTCCTGCAGTTCCTAGAAAACACTGAATTGTAGAAGCCTTTACAATAGTAGCCCAAGATCCTCTCTCTTTACAAGTAGTTCAGGTTACAAATTGTGAAAGACACAAACGAAACATAGACTGTTGTTATTTCTACCTATTTCCAATCAAAATGTTGCTTTCCAATTCTGGTGACTTAAATCCCACTTGGTGCAGTGACAAAACGCACAGTATTGGCCGTAACTGTCGTGAGCTTGGGTTTGGGTTTTTGTTTAGTTTCGTTTTCTTATTTTTCTTATTGCAATAAGCAACTTTGCCTTTTGCCACATAAATTTGCCGTAAATTAGCGCCACATGCAATCGCCCGGCCCAAGTGTCGCCACTTGGTCACATGCGAGTGTGTGCGAGCGTGTGAATGTGCATGAGGCTGCTACCAGAGTCGGAGCACGCCCCCGTCAACGCCCAGCGACTGTCAAAGCGACAGCAATGACAACAACAACAACAAGAACAGCAACAACAGAGGCAATTGCAGCCGTGATCGCCGGCGATCACCCCACTGATCAGCACAATTGTCTCGAGGGTGCGCGTGTCTTTGGCTCCCTCTTGGGCCCCCCTCGGATTAATGCATTGCACTTGTTGTTGTGGACTTTGTCAGGGCAATAAATTTTAATCTTGTTTGGCGCTTTTTGGCAGCTAACACAGCACACAATCACACTCACGAACGAGGCAGCTGGGCCCGCACACGCGGCTCAAACAATGGTCAGTGCCCAACACTTGCAGATTATAAATCAATTTTCAACACTTGTTCGTTATTTTTCACTCACCTTCTTGCACCAGTTTCTTGCACACGGGTCGTGCGTTCACCGATTTCACGCCCACCGAATAGGTACAGTTCACATAGCTCCAGTAACGTTGCTGCTCCGATATGCTATCCGGCTGGAAGGGATCGTTGCAGAATTCTCCATTGGAAACGTCCGTGGAGCAGCGCCAGCAGCGTAGCACAGCATCCGCTAAAGCAGAGAGGGAGGAGATAAGTTGGTTAGAAATCACATTAAGACTTGATTTGTTTAAAAACTGCTTGTATATAGCTTGCGTTCCATTTTCGCTAAGTTAAGTTGGACAATCCCTCGTAAGTAGATTATGTCAGCCCTATAGCTCAATAGTCAACAAGAAAGCGAAAGTTTGAAAGTTGAAAACGTGTGCAACACTACCAATTTTCTCAACGGGATGACGAGTAATATATGAGGAGAAATTTTCTGAAGTGATGGGAAATCATCCAAATATCAGACAAGCTGATGTTTTAAGGTCTGTTAGCCAAGACCTTGATATTATATCCACGCGAATATCGCTAGATTAAAGGCAATATTAATAAGCATCAGCTGGTGAGACGGAGGTTAAAATCGATTCTACTCCATCGGTAAAGTTAGGATATTCTAATTGATGTTGACATTTTTATTATTAAATATTCGACGAGTTAAAAACAGATTTTGTTTATCGTTCTTGAGACATTTTTGAACCAAAACAAAGTTTCCGTGGGGATTTTAAAATGTATAAAAAGTAATATAAAATAAATATTCAATAATATATAACTTAAAAGTAACCTGATACTTGTTACGCTAGGATAAGGTTTATAAATAAATAAATAAAATGAAATTAATTAAAAATAAAAAAATAAATATTCTTTAGCCCAGAACTAAGACCCACAAATAGCAAATTTGTCTTCAGAAGGTATTTTAATTGCAGCAAAAGAGAGAAAGTGTGAATTTTGATTATCTTTTTAACAACTTGGGGCACTTAGGGGTCAGCAAATCTTAGCCTTGTTATTTCAGCTAGACTGATAACACATCGGGGTAAACAGATGATAGCCAATCTTAAAAGGAGCTATCAACATAGTCCTATTTATTTATTTATTTCTTTATTATTAGCTTCATTAAACAGATTCGTTGTCAGAGCTTCCCGCATGTTTGTATGTATGGAGTTTATAGGTTCAATACTCTAGAACTGATGACTTTTAAATAAAAAAAATGGGCAGATAAACAGACGGGTATAGAATGAAAGGTACCAGCTGATTCGTCTATGTATGTTACACACTGCTGGCCTTTGGCCTGCCTTAACTTTTCGTACCACTTCGGCAATTACAAAGTTTCCTAAAAACAATTGCTGCTCGGGGCAGAGCTCTGACTTGCAAAGAAAGAGCATTAAGTCGGCTCCAATCAACTTTCCATATCTAAATTTCTGAAGTCAAACAAGCAGCCTTATCCTTGCCATTAAGAAATCTGATTTAACTACTCAGCGATTTCAAAAATGTACGCTTCAATCAATAGATCGTTAAAATCCAATTGAAAGTGTGCCTTGCCCATAAAAATAAGTGAACATGAATACTGACGCGAATGGGGCATGTGTCGAGCATTTTGTTTGTGCGCAGTCGCGACTGCCAAAACATTTCCAAAAGGCGCATACAATATCAATTTTCAATAGAATTACAGTCATTACCATTAGTAAACTGCCACTGCAGGCTGCAGGCTGCAGACTGCAGACTGCGGTACGAGAATAAACATTATTGCAAACGATCTGACAATTCGACTGTCAATTAATTTCAATATATTGTAAATAATTATAATTTTGTGCATACAACTGAAATGAAACGCAGACTCCGACGCCGGCTGCCGGTTGCCAGTTGCCACTTGCCGGATCGGTTGCTACTTAGAAATACGCAAATTGTAATGTTTATGGCCAAATGCGGACAAACACGTTTTGACCGTGCGTTGAATGCGTTAGCACCAGCCTCGTCCTCCTGCTCCTCCTGCTCCTCCTCCTCGCACTGGCTATCTAAGCTTTCATTTAAACGCACCTCAACGTGTTGGTTAAGTGCATTTAACCTGAACGTTAACGTTTGACGTTTAAATTGGCCCCCATATATTGCACGGAGGAAACGGGTTTGGTTCGGTTTGGTTTGGCTTGGCTGGCTTTTCTTGCAGAGGCTCAATGCCAAGCATTTACTTAACAATTTTTAACAATATGACCAAGTTGGGCCAAAAAAAAAAACACAAAAAACGCACTCCAACTAGTGTGTGTATTAAAATATAAATATTTACACGGGCGCGTTTTAAACCGACGCCCGTTAATCGTGTCCATAAATAAGCGCTCGCCGAAAGTTTTGACACTTTTATAAGGCAATTTTCCATAGGTTGTCGGCATAAATAACTCAGCCAAAAGGCTTTCGTGTCAAATTAATGTTCGCTTCATTCCGCCAAACAATTTTTCACAGACACAACACACAAACTTACGATCCGGCCCCCCAATATAGCCAGCAGCCCCAGTAGCCGCTCCATGTCTCCTATCGCAGTCATCAATGCATTTTATAGCTCATTAGCCAACAGCTTCGACTCATAAGAGTATCGATAAAGTAGATCGACTTTAAAACCAAATTTCTTACTCTGTTTATGATGCGCATGCCACAGTGGCATGGCCAGTGGCCGAGCCAGTGGCAGTGCAAGATGCGGTGGCAGCTGCAGTTTTTCTTCCTCTTTATTGATTTCCTTGCAATTAACTCGCCGATAATTAGCTTTCAGAGCCAATGAGCGAAAACGCCGCCTGCTGTTATATGCTTGTAGTATTATACGATAATTAAAATTGATAAACTTCGAATTGCTGTCAATGATACGAGTCAGTCTTTGTGGCAGCTTATTTAGGCAACTTAATGAGCACAGTTGCTGGTAATTCATATTTACTTGTAAAATATTAGTTGCTTGGCTAAATCATTCATTTTTATCTAACCCAAAAAGTCTGCTGCTGATGTTTGATTAAGAGACAGCGTGGTGTGCGGCCCAAGCCAGATAAGTGGACTGAGAGTCCACAATGAACTCGGCATTGAGCCGCACCGAAGCGAAATGCAAGCGGATAACTGTTCGATTTTACAGCCTGTTCCTGAACGGGCCTTGGACATACAAATTGTTGCAAAAGCGAAATTCGCCAAAAATTGGTTACCAATTTTTAAATAGTTATCCGCTTGGATTGCACTTCGGTGCGGCTAAGGCAAGATTTACAAGTTACGACTTAAATTCAATAAGTTGGAATCGTATATACTCGTAATATGATAATACTAGTTTGTTTTCGATATAGCACAGGAGGTATAGCAAAGGTGTTCAGAAGTTGGGAATATTGGTGTTATCTAAAATGGAGCTGCGATTCTTTAAAGCCATGCAGATATTGGAAAAAGAACTCTTTTAAAGGACACTTTTGAAAAAATGACCAAAAATTCAAATTGTCAGTTATAAGAATAACTTTTTATTAATGTACTGTTATACATACTATAAACATACTTGTAATACAAGTATGTATATGTGAAAAGAAAACTCGTTTATATTTATTATGATATTTGATATTATGATATTATGATATTATATTTATTTGATAACTTGATAGACGTACTCGTTGGTAAACACTTCGTTTAAATTAAATTTAAATCCTCTTTAATTTGAAAAATTTTCATTTATTTTTTCAATTATTTTTTTGTTGTTGTTTAATATAAATACTCTTGATTGTTTAAATTGTATTTAATTTATTCACACATTTTTTAAATTGTAGTACTTTTTCTATCATTGTGGCACTCTATTCCCCTTTTGGAGGTCTGTTTGCTGCGCCTCTGCCGCTATTACAAAAGTTGAATGCACTCTTGCCACAGATCTGCACACAAACAGCAATAATTACGTAGATATGCAAAAGTCGGCAACAAAGACGGGCCTAAAACTTGGGCATTACGAGTGTGCGATTTTCCCATAAGCCGCACACACACACACACACACAGATGTACACATATGGCGAAGTTCACATGCAATTTTTCTATTAAGTTGCAAAGCAGGCAGGCAGGCGCCCTCAGAACTGAGGTTTGCAAAGCATGTGACTTACTTGCAACTTTTCGGTGGCAACTTCACACATAAAGCCACACATTTAATGACTTTGGTTGGGTGGCCGCAGCACCAAAAAGTGATTATTGAGCGCTTTCTCCGCTTCCACTCCTCCTCCTTCTCTTGGCAAAGACGTCGTCGATATCTGTGACATAAAACTTGCCAACTTATGCACCAAGTTTGTAGCCCTTACTGCACGACTGCACCGACTTACATGCAACAATTCGCGGCACAGCGCAATCAGAGTTCATTCAACTGCCACAACAAATGAAAAGTGGAAAATGAAAACGAGGGTGCGACGACATGTCGAACGTTTTTCGAAAGCAATTGCAGTTCATAGTCGTTTGAACGAGTTCATATATATTGGCCTAAATGCTTCGATAATTAGACGTGCATTATGTGGGAATGTGCGCAGATGTACCATATACGTAAGTATATATATTTGACATGCAAATATTGCATTTTAATTATGCCGCGACTTTCGGAAATGGGCACGTTGCATCCGCCAATCAGTGGCATTTATTGATTGAGACGTTTATTCGGCATGTGGCAATGTTGAAAATACTTTTACTATAATAAATATGTATGGAATTGTTACAATTGCTTCCAATCACGACACATACAAATTGATTTTTCAGCATTTATAGGGGCTCTTGAAAATAACATTCCGTACATTCTATATTTGATGAGCAATTGTAGGAATTATAAGTGAAGCAATCAGGAAGTAGTATTGCTCAATAGTTACAAGTATTATAGAAGCGATCTTTAGAGAAACATTTTATTACACACACCCAGAAATATACTTGAACTAGTTATTTAGTTTACTCAAACTGTAATCAAATTGTAATCAAATATCTTCCTATAATATTGAAGTATTAAAAGGGAATCTGTGAAACACTCCTTCAAACTTAGTTTATTTATCATAACTATTACGGGCCAACAATATAATTTTAATAGGCATTTTATTAAAACAATACATTGTATACCTGTATCAACAATTTAGTCTTGTCGGGCATCCAGATATCAAGAATTCGAAGAAATATTTATTCTGTTCATCATTATATTACAATTTGTATACTACAAGTATATATTTTGAGTTAAGTTGAATTGTAACATCTTTGCAATTTTTATTAAAAAAAATAAAACTACTGCACCCTCACATACATACAACTACATACATATATCACTAGGTATTACAAAACATCACCTTGGGCTCATCATTTGCATTGCATTTGCAAGCAATTTGAATCACAAGCTCTGTAACGACTGACACGTACAAAAGCAAAAAGGTTGTCACTATTGGCATGGATGTGCATGCGACTACATGGGTGTGTTTTATTAACTAAGTATGTACATATGTAGATATGTATGTACCTATTAATGACCGACATTGCGAGATAATATCTAAAATAAATTGCATTGAATCACTTGACTATATCGCGCATGACATGGCATACATGTAAAAACGTTTGCAGGGCCGAAGGCAGGCAATCGCTTAGTCAACACTGGCACTCAAACAGTCTGCTGGTCAGGGAGTCAGTTAGGCAGACGATCAGCTTGTACATACAACAGTCAGTCGGCCAGATATTCAGTCGAACAGTCAATCATTGAGGTCAGTCAGTCAGGTTCAGTTGGTCAGACAGTCAGTCAGGTAAACAGACATGCAGACAGTCAATCAGACAGTCAATCAGACAGTTAATCAGACAGTCAGTCAGTTGGACAGTCAATCAAACAGGAGTAAGTCAGTCAGTCATATTCAGTTGGTCAGACAGTCAGTCAGGTAAACAGGCATACAGGGAGTCAGTCAGTCAATCGTACAGTCAATCAAATAGTGACTAAGTCAGTCAGTGGTGCATATTCTATTTCTCAGTCAATCAAGCAGTGAGAAAGTCAGTCCGTCATGCATATTCAGTTTATAAGTCAGTCAGTCAGACAGTGAGGCAGTCAATCAAACAGTGAGTCAGTCGTGCATATTCAATCAGTCACTCAGTCAGTTTATCAACATTTAAGACTGCAAATTGCATCTGAATTGCTTTCATTATGGCTGACTTGTGCCGCGGCGCATCAAACTATGCATTAATTAAAAAATCATCTCGGATTTTTGCTCGTTTTCATCGCAAGTTCGTCATGCATGGCAAGTCGGTGGCGGAATATAGAAACTAAGTATGTGGAATTTGAAAATTCTATGGACGCAAAAGGCGCGCTTGCAGTGAGGTAAGTGTTAAAATAAATAAATTTGCATTTTGCTTTCATTTCAGGCAATAAACTATCATTTTCCGTTCGTGTCGAAATGCGAAAACAGGCGCCCTGCAATGTAAACAACAAAGACTAAGGGACAGGCGGCTCTGGGAAATGTGTGTCATGCCGAAAGTTGAAGTGCCAGTAACTGCCCCAGAATAGTAGAGTTCTGCCATCGGGCAGGGTGTGTGTCGTGTCGTCTTTCGGGGGCAGGAAGGCGGTGAACATTGCCTGACAATTGTTTGGACTGGACGCGCCTCTACATAAAACTAAACACAAATAAACTTTTAGTTAATGTAAATGGCATGTCAGGGGCTATGACTGATGCCCATCTACGGAGGAGTGTGGGAGTTGTAGGGGACCAAGAAATGCACATATCTGGTAGGAAGTGAAACTTGAAACCGCCCACGTGAACTCAATTCGTTGTGGAAGTAAATGCATTGTTCATCTTCATTTGATGGCTTCTCATTGTTTAGCAACTTAATTCAATTAATCAGAGCAGTTTGTGGTGCAACTTAACTGAACGACCAGCTGTTTAATTTAAATTTAATTTAAAGAACAACAATCGCGAGAACAGTTTACAATTTATCTAACTAGTATACATAATTAGAGTAACTTCTAGATGGAGGGTAGAATGAATCAGTGAATTACAACAAACGGGCAATAAATTATGAAAGTTTAAAAGCATGCGGAGCGCGACTTTTTATCATCAACAAATGCAATTTAATGAACAAATAATCGCTTAAGAGTCTTAAAAATAAATGACAGTACTTTAAACAATTCAACTCTTTAGCGCCACACACTTATTCTGTCATTTGGATTCGACATCGAAGAATTTAAAGCATTCCAAGAAGAGAAAGGAAAATGTTTATTTTGACTGCCATTTTTGGTATTAGGAGAGCTCTTCCACCTTCAACTCAAAGCATTAAAAGCTGTTCCCATATGGTGTCTTTCAATGCCAATGAAATATATTAAAAGATATTTGGGTATTCTTGTAGTCTTGCAAAAGTGTTAATGATTTATGTATTTATTTGTCATTTATACAATGAGTTACCGCACTTACTCCAACATTGAAATAAATCTCAGATTTCTTATCTAGACCTTAGCACAATTTAAAAGCGAATTTGCAGTTTGCAAAGAGTTTCGAAAGACAATTTTTTTGTAACTGGGGCAATATTTCGTCTATAAATCACATTAGGTTTCAAGTTAATATGTTTTCTATATACTTTTCGATTATTTTCTTATATACACTTCAATATTTTCATGTTTCATAAGACTTTGTTAAAGTTCTCAACATAAAACGATGGCTCTTATTTCAAATATGAGAATTTCAAATATCGACAACTATATAAAATGTATACTATATATATACTTGTATGTATGTGAAGAACTTGATTGTTTGAGAGCATGCGGTAATGATCTATTCAGGTATATTTTATTTCTGAAGAACTTGTTTGAATCACAGCATGTCTTATAGTGTTCAATATTATATTCTATTCGTTCTACTTTTAGATTATGAATCGCTTCAATGGCATGGAATTTCAAATATCTACGATATAAAATATATGATCTATATGTAAGGAACTTGTTTCTCTTTCAAAGCATACACGCAATGTATGTCTTAAGAACTAATTAGATTCAGAGCGTGTCTTATATTCTATTCGATTCCTTTAAGACTATGAATCGCCTCATTTCGCATGGCATTTGAGATATCTACAGAAATATATATAATACAAAATATGTACATATATGTGAAGAACTTGTTTGTTTCAGAGCAAACGATTTAATGATCTCTTTATGTGTTTTTATTTTGCCGATTTTTAAGGTCGGACTGCATGTTAATATACATTTTGTAGTGTCAATAAACGAAATGTGCATAAATATAAATAAATCATGAAGTAATCTGTTGCTCTTAATGCAATATTAAGTATACGAGCTGTTGAAGCTACGAGTCATAATGAAGGCTGTCTATGGCAATCGCAATAACAATGATAGTGCATATTAAATGCAATAATTAAATAAATATACTGTCAGTTCGAGAAAGCCTGCGTCTGCCTTTATCAGCTGAGGTCAAGTAGGTGTTTGATTTATTACCTTCCAACGATTTAATTGCCATATTATGGGCAATGAACAGTTGCGTGCTTTAATTAATGAATTCCCCACCACACACACATAACATTCCTAAGAACATTTTAAACAAATTACAAGCTAAGTTCAACTAATCGTCTAAGAGTTTTAAAGCAGTTGGGTCAGTGACCCTTTTGTGGTTTCTGTTTCCACCCGTAAATGCACGTACATCCCCTCTCTTAATTAGTTGCCACTTCATGCAGCAGGACGCACATTTAAACACATTTACCCACCTGCATTGAAGCACAGCGCGAACGCCAGCAGCGTGAGGAGCAGGTTGCAGCCTGTGGAGCTGAAGGGCGTCATGTTGTAAGGCGAAGGCGTGTTTTCAGCCCAATACTTGTATAGTATATATAAAAATGATCTTAAATCTTTCCACGCGCACTGACTATAATGGCCAGAGAAATCACCCAAAATGCACTTTTTGCTATTTTTGTATTGCGCGCCAAAAATATATGCCGTTATGTATGGGGGGAGCTATTTTGAACAAATTTCCCGTTGACACACAAATTGGAGAGCGACGGCAATGACAACAACACAGCACTGCGAATACAGCCGCTGACACGCACATGCGACGCGCTGACAAACTAAATGCGAACTAAACCAAAACTGAAATCGAAAATGTTGCAGAGGCCCAAGCCACAGCCAAAATGCGACAGACGGCGGAAGGCAACGAACCGAACCAATAATAAAACGAAAACGTCCGCAGACTTACTGCGCGTATCGTACATGGTGCATGAGAGTGTGTGAGGGAGAGAGAGAGAGCGAGAGGGATCATTCAACGAGCCAGCAAATTGAAAGCAACAATTGAAAGCTTTGCGTTCAATGGCAGCAGCGAAAGCACAAATGAGCGGCGAGAGAACTAGAACTGTGCGCGTCGCTCTGCGGCTCCGTCCAGCACTCTACGAGTCGAGTGGAGTTATCTGGGTTGGGTTTAAGTCTAAGTCGTTGCCAGCTGTAATGGTGGCCACAACACTTGCAGTTTCGACAAAGTGCCGACCACGCACAGTGGGCTGAAATTAAGCGAACTCTCAAGCGACTGAAGTCGATTTTTAAAGCATGTAGGAGTGTTAGTAGTTTTAGGAGCGAAATAAAATCATAGCAGCATACCATAGCCTTTGTTTAGCAAGATGATAGTGAAATGATCTGGGAAATTTGAGAAGTAGCTCCTCTCCTCACGAAGTGCTTTGCTGCTCTTAACTCTACTTCATCTATTGAGTCCAATCTCCGAGCAGAAGGAAATCGCAATACGAGGGGACATTTCGAAGACGGTCAGGCTACAAATAAGCACAATCGGAATGGAAATTCATGAAATGATGATATCGAACATTAAATCGAAAAGAACTACTAAACCAGCAGTGGAGCAAATAAACTTTCCCAACTGGTTAGTAGAAGAGCCTTCTGCTTTATGACGAAAGCAATTTCTGTATATTTGGCATTAAGGGACGTTGACTTGTGTTTGGAAAGGAAGCAATGAACCTCGATTTACCAAACCTTACTCCAACCGTTAAACACGGTGGTGGCGGCGTAAACGTGTGGAGAAATCTTTCAAACAAACATTTTCTCTAATAAAGTCGTTTATATTAAAAGAATCTCTTGTACCTTTCCTGCATGTGTGTTTATAGAATCAACTTGCAACATTTACTTGTCCTGCAATTTTTGTGCCACAGTGCCGCGTCTAATGTCATTTGTGTTTTCTTGCCCCAATGAGTTTGCAACGTCGTTTGAAACTCGGTTGCTGGTTGTAGTCGTCCGCACCGTCCACAGCTCGTCCCGTTGTCGTTCCTCAGTCATCGCCTAGCGCTGGACTTTGACAATTGAATGTCGTCGTCTAATCAAGTGAGACTTTTTGATAAGGAAATGCAACGTTGACACTCTGCCACATGGGCGCTTCGATGCAAGTGCGACTCACTTCCCAGCCCCCTCTTCCTACTCGCAGCTGAGCTGTGTGTGTGCTACAGTTTTCCATGGCATGGAGGTGTGCCCAGCTTACATATTTACATACTTGTATGTATCTGAATAATCACATAAATATCTATACATACTCGTAAGTATGTCTGTTTATGGGTGTGAGTGTATGATTTCTTTTTACAACCATTGCCAGCTATGTATTCATATGTATTTGGCGAGTGCTTTGATTTGCTGTTCTTGTGTTTGCTGCTTTTGTTGTGTTGCTGATTTTAATGAGTTTGTTTACTCTTCGCAATCAAGTACAAGCTCGTACACACTTTTATTTTCATTGCTCCGCTTTAAGACAGTCGAACGCCCCATTCGCCCGAGTCTTTGTCAGTCCAGTTTCAGGTTCTTTAAGTTGCCACAAAGTTGCTTATGAATAGATTTCTTATGAATCTATGATTGGTTCGCAGTACATTGACTTTGTATGCTGTTTGCCATTACATTACTGTTGGCTGACATTAATGATGCATTTTAGGGTTTACTCGAGGTCCCCATTAATGGCCAGCGATTAAGTAAATAGGAAATGAAATACGTGGTTGTTAAGGACACACTAAGTAGCTCATTAATATCCATGCCTTCTCTATATGTCTCAAGGCTAATTTGTGGGCTATCTTTAGGGAATATGCGTACACAAAACAAATCAAATTTAAATGATAAATAACACAAGAAGGAAGGATAACAATTTGTCATTTTGTTGGGGTGATATATAGCTTTCAATTGGATCTAATGATGATACGAAAGTGACGCTATGCCAAATATATTTGATACAACTTTTAATAGTTTGGTGCTCGACCGCAGAGTTAAGCTTGTAAAATGGAGATTGGATTCCTTTATTTTACCTTTTTTTCTATTGGGGGTAATTGAAGGAATACTTGGCATTATGTTTAACTTCAGTTTGGCAGCCTTTATTATAAATATGTACAAAGTACGTATATTCTGTATATATAAGCAAAATATGTAGAAAAATCAATACAGCTTTTCTAAGACATCGGCTTATCACATAAATTTGTTGAAATTTGTACTAGAAACAACCTTATTTGAAGAGCAACCATTATATAGAAATTTCTACTAAAGTTCCTTAGAATTTTGTTTATTTTTGGAATATATTCTCTACTTCCTATCCAAATAATTTTCTCTTAAGATGCAAGCAAGCTATTAAACATGAACCATTTTCTTTCATGTTCAGAGACTATACTAGGGAAAATCTGTGACTGATAGGAATTGTTTAAAAAGTGTTTTGAATAAATAAAAGTATTTGTTCCATACATTCATTTTACAAATTCCTTATGAGTCACCACTCAAGAGTATTTAGTTTTTTGTAAGCAGCCATGGGTATTACAATAATGTATCGATTATAAAGTAAAGGATTCATAAATAAAAGGAATTATAATTAACTGAAATGACTTCAAAAAGTTGCTATATAGATTGATAAAGAAGTGAGTAATCGATATAGAGTTGATTACAAATAGTCGTATTATTGCTCACTTTTTGCAACTTTCTCAGCCTGTTGTAATGAGTTTTAACTCGTTCGTTAAAAAACCAAATTAAATGCGCACTTGCCCGTCTCTTCAAGTTAAACAAAATTAGAAACATTTGTAAGGACTGCCAACATGCGATGAATGTTGTGTGTTTATAAAAATAAATGCCACTGCACGGTATTATTTTTGTAAGGAATGGGCCCAAATACCTCAATTTACCAGACAACTAGAATTTACTTGCCACTCCACTTGTGGCTAATCAAGCAAATCGAACCGAGTTCAATGCTCAGGAAACATGTCAACTGGAGGGAGAGGACAGCAAAAACCAATAATCTACGCCTCTGAGGTGGACAATGGGTGTCTGACCGCCCCAAGAAAGCGTGTGGCCAAGATTTCCAGGAGACGATACGCATGTCACAGAATTAGTTGACAGGTTGGTCGACCTAATATGCAGTATATAGTAGTGGCGCATGGCTATGACGTCAGCTATAACTTGTGTTGTCTGCTCCAATTTCTGCCGACCCTACACATCAGAATGGTGATTAAGCAGACTATTTTAGTTGTTGTAAACAAATTAGAAAATAATTGGCGTCCCGCTTCGATTGTCTTCGATTTTGTGGCACCTTTTATGCTGCGCCTTCGAGTCTAACTAATGCGAGTCACTCGGAGCTTTAAGCAGAGCATTTAATGTTGTAGCAACTCATTTACTCGAAGCAATTAAAAAAGAGTTGGGAGGTAATTAGTGTGGGTGTGCTTTATGTGTCAGTTTCCTATTGTAAGAAGAATAGGCGCTATTCTAGACACAAATTACTTATTACGCAAATATTTTGCATCACATATGTAGATTTTGTTTAGCTTCTCGATTATTTTAATTATATCTCGGCTAGAGATTGTCGTCACGCCAAGCATCTCAGAAAATGACAATAATTATAAACAATCGGAAACGAAAATTGTTACGCTTGCTTAGTATAACAACAATGTGTAATTCAGAGAGGCTTGTAAGTCTGTACTTAAACATACGAGGGTATTACAATTCCAGTTTATTCAGTTGCTCTAACGAGTGTATTTTTTTTATTACCTGAGATCAAAGCTCTTAGACGCCCAGGTAGAACGGAAATGTGGCTTGGCAATTGACGTAAGATGCGAAACCAAACAGTTGTTTTGAATACAGTGAAATACCCTGTACCCAGGTAAACCTCCGACAATGAGGTATATGCGCCTTTAGCAGAAGCAAATGGAAGAAGAAGATGCTCTAGCTTGAGGGCGTAGTACCGGAGTGAAATGGTTTCGCTAATAACTTCTCTTAGAATTCGATCGATTTCTCTCGCCATGATGATTCAGACTATATATGCTTTATGGGGTCGGAGATGCTTCCTTCTGCCTGTTACATACTTTGCACAAACCTTATATGTATACCCTTTTTACCCTACGGGTAGATGTATAAAAATATACAGAAAATTGAAAAAGACTTCTGAAGATTTCGAAAATTGTGTTGTAAATAATAATTTAATCGAAAAGTATCTTTTAAATTAAGTTTTCAACTCAAGTACTATTTTCAATGCATTAGAAATGTGTGAATTATTTGGATTTGCTCAAAATGCTAAATAAAATTAGTTGGTGTAACATTTTAGATATTTTTATCTCACATGCCTCTGGAAAGTATGTCAAATAGTTTGAAATTGAATCGCACTCATTGATTGAACTAAGGTTTGGAATCTGCATTTAGAATCATCGTATGGCGATATGCAGGAGCTGACCGCTTTAGTTTTGGTAACAATTGTAAGCGTCAATGCCTTAAGGAAACCTGTGGCGGTAAAGGATCTGGGTTTCCTGGCCCAGCAGCGCATCTCCGATGGCTTCGTGGCACCGAGGGGAAAATTTCGCTACCTTGTGGGGTTGAGTTTTAAAAACAGAGACGGAAGCCACTACTGGTGTGGAGGCGCCATCATAGACAGGCACTGGATCCTGACTGCCGCTCATTGCACAAATGAGGGCGAATTCGTGACCATTTATTATGGAGCTCACAATCGGAAAAAGGCTGCATTCACGCACAGGGTAATGTGGAAGGATTGGAAGCAGCATGAGAACTTCGACAGCTATATTCTATCGTGCGATATCTCCTTAATTCGCACACCCTACATTCGATATGAGAACGGCGTCGAAAGCGCCCGTCTTCCCGGTGCGGAGAGTAATGTTTTAACCAACAAGTTGGGAGTGGTATCTGGCTGGGGCAAGACCTTCCAGAGCAAAGACATTGTGGATATATTGACCTGCATAAATGTGACGATTGTCGATAGTGCCCCCTGCGACAGATATTACGGTTCGCTCTTGTTTACGGATGATCACATTTGCATTATGTCAGCCAGTAGCTCTAAGGGAAGTCCCTGCAGCGGCGACTCCGGCGGACCCCTGATACTATACAACGGTGAAATCCTTGTGGGCATTGTATCCTATGGCTCCACAGAAGGTTGCAAGGCGCACTTACCCTTGGCCTTGACGCGTGTGACCAGCTACATGGATTGGATTGCGAAGCAAATGGAAACTGGAAACGCTGCTTGCAGCATTCTGGGCTTTAGAATCCGCCACTCAATTCTTTTTTTACTCTACACACTAATAAAGTATTAAGTTAAAATAGGAGGAGTAATTTTTCAAATAACGCCCATTAGAGCTTGTTTCGCTCCGATATTGCTTTCCGGCGGAATTTTTACGATATTCGAAAGAATACACGTATTACCTGGGATTTGTTGTTGAAAAGCATTTTCATTGAAGCTTTTCAGAAATTGTGGAAAGCATTCCCAATTACCAAACCACTTAGTCAATGCACAAACCAAACAAAGCTTTTCCACAGATGAAGCAACAGGTTGGCGCTGCTTAGCAACCATTGGCATGTTTTGAAGGCAATTGCCATAGAAACTGTTCCAAAACAGAAGAATTTATTGCTAACAAGCAACTACAAGTATTGAGCCATTCGAGCCAAATTTGTGAAAAATGAAGTTAAAAACGCGAATCTGTAAAAAGAATTCCCTAAACGCACAGGAACTGCGAGGCAACTCAGCACTTCAAAAAACCGGCGCGGAGGACCCACAAAGCCAACAGCCGACAAATTATCCACTCAGCTGTGTCGATTGGAGCAGCAATGAGGACATTTACTTTGTTAGGTATTTAATAAAAATAGCGAAAGCATTCACGCGAAGTGGAATACTAATCAGTTGGCCAACTTAAAGCGACGATCATCAGATTTATAAATGGAGCGACGTGAGCCGAGACTCTGTGGAGGTGGCCAAGCTGCCCGATGACTTTATACCCACAGATCTGGATTGGCTGCTCCTGGGCGGTCGCAGCAGCGGCGGCGGTAAGGGCAGCGACTCTCTGCTCATCTGCAGCAACGATGGCCGCTTCGTCATCCTCAACAAGAGTGCGCGGGTGGAGCGCAGCATTGCGGCCCACACGGCGGCCATCAGCTCGGGTCGTTGGAGTCCCGACGGTGCTGGTCTCCTCACCGCCGGCGAGGATGGTGTGGTCAAGATATGGTCCCGATCGGGCATGCTACGCTCCACTGTCATACAGAGCGACGAGCCCATTCGCTGTGCGCGCTGGGCGCCAAACTCCACGTCTATTCTGTTCAGCCAGGGCAGCTACATAAACGTAAAGCCGCTGGCTGCCAACAGCAAGCTCCTGAGGGTGAGTGTTGGCCGAGGGTTGAAATGTCTAGCGACATGTTCGTCTGTATGACCCTCGATAACTTTTAAACTATAACAGCTAGGGACACCAAACTTCGTTATGTGAACCAAAGCTTTCAACAAAAACTTTATATTTTTGTGTTGCTTAACTAACTTAACTAAAATGTTTAAACAAAACCATAATTTACCTGCTTTAGGAGCGGTAGGAGATAGGCTCACTTTTATAAAGAATAACTCTTTTGTTTCTAATAATACTTGTAGTCTTCTTAATTGGTACTTTTTATCCTATACGAGTGCTTTGGAAATTATAGGTACAATCCAGTATTTTTTAAAGTTAACGAACTTAGAATACAAGAGTCAGGTCGGACCATCATTTACGCTATACCAATTAATTAGAATTTTTATACCCTGTACCCAAAGGGTACAAGGGTATATTAGTTTTGTGCGAGTGCACATGGAACACACAGAAGGAGGCTTGGCAGACCCCACAAAGTATATATATTCTTGATCAGCATGACAAGACGAGTCGATATAGCCATGTCCGTCTGTCTGTCCGTCTGTCCGTCTGTCTGTCTGTATGAACGCAAGGATCTCCGAAAGTATAAGAGCTAGAATAACCAAACTTGGTATACAGATTCTCCTGAGACCGAGAAAGGACGAGTTTGTTCATTTTTTCTGATCCACCCCCCCCCACTCCCCCCCTATTAACGATTATCTATAACTCCCGTAATTCTTGGAATTTTGAACTAATTTGGTAGTCACATTAGGTTAGTTATTATATAACCATATACCAAGTTTCATTATGATAGAATGATCGGAAAGAAAGTTATAGCCATATAACCAGGCCCAATGCACACATACATACATATGTACAAGTACACAAACACGCATAAGGCACGATTCTGATGTAAATGTAAATGTATGTATGCATGCATGGAATATTTTATATTTAATTTAGTTAATTAATTAAATTAATTTAGTTAATTAAGTTAATTTAATTAATTAATTAATTTAATTACTTTATTGTGGGGTGGTACAGGGTATTTAAGAGTTGAGCCTGCTCGACTGTAGCATTCCTTTCTTGTTTTTTATTTATCGCAGTGGCGTGCCCATGATGGTCTGGTACTTTCTCTCAGCTGGTCGATGCAGTCGAACATCATAGCCTCGGGCGGTGAGGACTTCCGCTTCAAGATCTGGGATACCCAAGGCGCCAATTTGTATAGCAGTGCGGCCGAGGAATATGCCATCAATAGTGTCGCTTTTAATCCGGATAAGGATTTCCTCCTCGTCGGCACTTTCAACATGCTCAGGCTGTGCTCTAGTTCTGGAGTAAGTTGCTCTAGATGTTATACGATTCTGTTCTATGCGGGTATGTCAAAAGAAAGCAGAAATGATCACATGTCATGGTGGTTCCGATGCGAGGGAAATACGTCTCCTCTGCTCCGAATGTTTTTAAACAACTTCCAAATCTATATTCCAAGAAGTGGAAAGTAAAACTATAATACTTTTGGTGGCAGCAGGATTTCGTTGACTTTCGAAAAAAGAACTGAGAAAGAAAATAGGTACCTGAGGGCATAACTAATGAGCTAAGAACACGTTGAATACAAATTATTTCTTGATCAGCAGTTGGCTGAGAGGGGATTTATTTTTAATTTTTCAAAAACCAGGATAAGATCAATCAGAAGTTTATCAACGGTAGTGTTTTAAAAGGTAACTGAAGTTGGTAAAAGATCACCAGATGTTAACCCATGATCTTAAAAAATACGAATAATAAAGGGATTATGAAAGTATTTTGGTGGCTTGAATCCCGAACATAAATGTGTGCGATTCGGACTGTAGGTTGGCATCCACTAGAGTTATTATTATTTTGTATATAGGTAGAAAGAAAGTGAAAGTGGAATAAGCAGAGAGAATAAGACAGAGTCTCAGCTCCCATTAGATCTGCTTCAATAAAGATGTGCCTTTTTCCCCCTAGTGGTCCTATAGCAGCACTCGCTTTGCGGCACCGAGCGTTGGCTCCTTTTATACACTGTCCTGGTCTGCGGACGGCACTCAAGTGGCCTGCGGCACGTCCACTGGTCAGCTTATTGTTGGCTATGTGGTCGAACAGCAGCTAATCTCTCGAAATCTGAAAGCGACCACGACAAGTCGGAAGTCCATTGCCCTGCAGGACTTGACGAACGGCACACACGACGTCCTGGACTTTCCACAGCGTGTGATCAACTTTGGACTGGGCTATGGGCATCTGGTGGTGGCCACCACCCACCAACTGCACATCTACAACGAGAAGTACATTAATACGCCCATCATTATTGATGGGAGGAGTGATGTGCGAGTCATTCAAGTCTGCAAGAAGTGAGCTCAAATGTGGGGATAAAAGTTAGACTTCGGCTCATTCTTTTTGTTACACTCCGCAGATATTTTCTGGTTTTGGACAACACCTCCATTTGGGTCTACACCTACACGGGTCGCCTGCATTTGAACCCCCGCTATCCCGGCTCCCAGGCACAAATACCACTCCTCAATTGGCGTTGTCTATCGCTGGGTCTGGACGTTCTAGCCATACGCGATAACTCGGACACGACTATTTTGCATTTGTTCGATCTAATACCAGGGGCCTCGCGACAATACGAGCCACACTCGCTGCGCGCCAAGCAACAATTATCGGAGATAGCCACCTGCAGGGCTGGCACTGTCGACGATCAGTTCGTGGTCTTCATCGACACCAATCGGGAGCTGTACATCACAGAGGCGCGAAACTTGAATGGCACTACCGAGCGGGCGGGCAATGGAGCGACGAGTTCCCCCGGCGAGATATACAAGATTGGCACGCAGGTAATCGCGGTGAAGTGGGCCAGTGAGACGAACATATTGGTGGGTGTGCACGATTCCTGCTACAGCATTTGGTACTGCCCAGGGGAGGGTGCCGCCGACCCCACCATCATAGCCCTAACCACAGTCACAATCGATACGGCGTAAGTCTTTAGTTATTGTAGATGTAGATATTAACTTTTCACAAACAATTATCCTCTCCCCCAGCGAGTTTGGCAAACACATAGCCATCGAAAGCTTCGAAGACGCCATTGTCAGCTTCCGCTGCGCCGGCGCCTTGCTGCCCGTCAATGTGAATATCTACTGTGAGGTGCTGCACCGCACACTGATGGACGGGCAGTGGCAACAGGCGCTGAAAATCTGTCGGATGGCGCAGGCGGCTTGCCTCTGGGCCACTCTGGCGGCCGTAACCACCCGCAAGAATCAGCTGCAGTTGAGCGAAGAGGCGTACTCGGCCGCCCTGCAAATAGACAAGGTCAGCTACTTGCAGTATATGAAGACTTTGACGCCGGCCAGTGCCGAGCAGATGGCTGAGAATTCGCTGATGCTGGGTAGATTGGTGGAGGCGGAGACCATACTCCTACATAATCGCAAATTTAGCCAAGCTGTGGCATTATCTCTGCGCATGCACAACTGGCGCCGAGCTTTGGAGATCGCGCAGAAGCATCAGGCAGAGGAGCAGGAATTGCTGGAAACGGTGCTGAAGGAGCGCAGCAAATATTTGAAGGCTCTGCAGCGCAAAGAATGGGATGAGTTGTACCTTACTTTTGCTCCCAAGGAGAAGGATGACAGCTCAAGTGACTAAGTTGGAAAATTTGTGCAATAAAACAACAACAATAAAATGAAAAATGTATTCAATTATCAGTAAGCCGGCTTTATCATGGGTTTGCCTTCCAAGGCATTCAGTATGTTGTTGGCAGCCAACAGGCCCATTTCTATGGTGGTCTTCCAGGTTTGGGTGCCCATATGTGGCAATACAACTGTAAGAGAATATCATTGCCAGGGTGGTGCCCTTTATCCTGAGTACTTTTCTTACCACAATTTGGTAGCTTTAAGATGGGATCGTCAGCGGGAAGCGGCTCGGGCGTGGTGACATCCAAGCCGGCAGAAAATATGCGTCCTGACTTAAGAGCATCGTGCAAATCGCTCTGCTTTACGAGACCTACAAGAAGATATTTATTAAAACGGGGAAATACTTTTAAAATTATCAAAACACTCACATTATTGACCGATATTAAAAATACTTGTATGTTCTATGATTTAACAAAATAGCTACGAAACCTGCTACGAATTGCTTTAAAAATATGATTCTGATTCTTAAGAAGCGAAATAAATACTAATTATAAAAGGCTTTAAGGATTTGAACTTTCAACTTTCATATGATTTTACAAAATTATCATTTTAAAAACACCATATTTATTTTGAAAACGGTTATTATTGTGCTTCTCAAATGTTTGAATAACAATCCTAAGATTAAAATCTAAAAGTTAACCATATATGCACATCATTTGTAAAAATTGATCTTCACTATTTCAAATTCGAATAGAGAGACTATTTAAAAAGATAGTTGTGAATTATGGGTATCATTATAAATCATGTACAAATCAGTTAACATGAAAAGATGACAGTCTTTTCTCCACACAATATAAAAACTACATTTAACAGCAGCCCAGAATTTCATTTTCATTGCATTTCCAACTCACCTCCTCTGGCCACATTGACGAACACCGCACTCCTTTTCATTTGTGCAAATGCCAGCGCGTCGAATTTCTCGCGTGTTTCCTCAGTGAGTGGACTGGCCACCACTAGGAAGTCGCTCTCCCTCAGGAGTTGTTCGAATGGTACATGCTCCGCTTTATAGTCACCATCGTTGAGCTTCCGAGTGCGCGTTGTGTAGAGTATTTTGGCCACATCCCAGCTCTGCAGGCGCTTGGCAATCGCCTGACCAATGCCACCAAAGCCGAAGAAACCCACCACGGAGTCGCGAATTTCCTGACCCATCATCCAGTCGATTTGTTCAGTGCGCCACTGCGAGCTTTCAGTGCATGGGAACACTCAAATCAATTAAGCTCAAGCTGATAGCAACAAGTAACGGCTAAAGCTCTTGCTCGAAGTAGGGATGTAAGTTCGACCTAAACATCGATATGGATGTGCCAAATCTGTTGCGTAATGTCTTGAGAAATTAAGTACATTTCAGAACAAATACATTACATTAGTTGACTTTGCAAATTTATTTTCCGCTTTAACAGATTATACAAGTATAGAGAAACCATTGCAACACACATATTTTGAATGCTGAATTGAATTGCTAAAGATACCGAAGCAATAATAATAATGCTACCTACGGCTATTTAGGAAGCGAACTGTTTACAGAAATTGAGAACTTATGTGCGAGCTCATAGCTGACGATGGTCACCCAAAAATATATTCCATTAGTGCAGGCTTCATAATCGAACAAACTAACCAAAAAATGACCGTTGTTATAAGAAAACTCCATATATCGACAACTAATCGCGAACAAACCAACTTCCAGAAATCACTATGCATCGTGTGGAAAACAACGACGGCCTCTGTATCGATGTTTTGTCACATCCCTAGCTCGAAGCTTTCGCTCAGCTGTTCTGCACTCGCTCACCTGTCGATCTCACAGCGTCCGGCATGAAAATTGCGACCGGCTGCTATCATCAATCCAATTGCCAGATCAGCTACAGAGTTACGCACCACGCCAGGCGTATGTCCCAGTGGTATACTGCGCCGCTTGAACTCCGGCACATCCACATAATCTATGCCCGAGGACATGGTGCTAACAGCACGCAATTTGGCGCCAGCTGCATTCAAAATTGCAGCATTTAGCGGTTGATAGTGCGCCCATAGTATGGCATCCACACCCCCCACCTTGCTGATAATCTCGGAGCGCAACGGCGGCACGCTCTGACAAACAATCAACTCGCCGCCCCGTGAGCGCAGCAAATCCAGAGCCGGCGTGGGCACATTCGGATGCGTGATTAAAACTTTAAACGCTTGACGGGCAGCGGAACAACTGGACATGACGAACGGGCGAGCCAAACTAGAGCATCCAAAAACCAATTTGAGCTTTTTCCCTATTGGCAACGACATTTGCTCTCTCTTATCTGACATCCACTCGCCCCGCACTCACTCTCTCCTCTCACTCTCTCTTTAACATGCTCTTGAAAAAGTTCTGTCGCGCTCTTATGCTTTAATTTGGCATTTTCGTAACGAATAAAGTTTTCAAACATTGTTATACCCTGTACCCAAAGGGTACAAGGGTATATTAGTTTTGTGCGAGTGCACATGGAACACACAGAAGGAGGCTTGGTAGACCCCACAAAGTATATATATTCTTGATCAGCATGACAAGCCGAGTCGATATAGCCATGTCCGTCTGTCCGTCTGACCGTCTGTCCGTCTGTCTGTCCGTCTGTCTGTCTGTCTGTATGAACGCAAGGATCTCCGAAAGTATAAAAGCTAGAATAACCAAACTTGGTATACAGATTCTCCTGAGACCGAGAAAGGACGAGTTTGTTCATTTTTTCTGATCCACCCACCCCCCCCCCCACTCCCCCCCTATTACCGATTTTTTATAACTCCCGTAATTCTTAGAATTTTGAACTAAAATTTGGAAGTCACATTAGGTTAGTAATTATTTATCCGTATACCAAGTTTAATTATAATAGAATGATCGGAAAGAAAGTTATAGCCATATAACCAGGCCCAATGCACATATACATACATATGTACAAGTACACAAACACGCATAAGGCACGATTCTGATGTAAATGTAAATGTATGTATGCATGCATGGAATATTTTATATTTAATTTAGTTAATTAATTAAATTAATTTAGTTAATTAATTAAATTAATTTAGTTAATTAATTAAATTAATTTAGTTAATTCATTTAATTATTTTTTGTGGGGTGGTACAGGGTATTTAAGAGTTGAGCCTGCTCGACTTTAGCATTCCTTTCTTGTTTTTCAATGAGATATGGGATTGTTTAATTAATTTAATCATTTTTGCCCAGCTGTTAAGTGCCCGGATAGTTGTTACTTTTCGTTGCTTTTTGTTGCTATATTCCGTTCACATTCTGTGTGCATGACCTGCTATTGTTGTTGTTGCTAGAAGATGGGTGCCTACATACATACATACATATATACATACATACATACATACATAGTACATACATTCATATACATATATGTACATACACATGTGGGTTCGTCCACCATGCCGCGCCGCATATTGTGGGCCACCATGGTGGCCATCTCAGAGCGTGTACGGGTTATTGCCTAGCCAAGATGTTAAATGGTATTTGTAAAAAGTGCACAAATGTTTAATAAATGTAATTGATGTAGCAGATAAAGATTTAATGCCGCTACTGAGATAAGCATTCGGAGTGCGGCAATTATGAGAGCTTTGGTTGCCGACATTGATGGATGCTATGTCAAGGTCGTATATTAACTGTAGGAAAATATGGCCAGATTTCGTTGCTGACGCCTTCCTTCCCTTTGATCTTCTCACATTTATCTGGATATACAACCTAGTGTAGAATACCACATATTGTGTCGCTTCAGTGCACATCCAAAAAGTGAACAGAAAAGAAAGAAAAAAACAGGAAAGAAATGTTAGAGTCCTAGAGGCCCTTCTCCTATGCTGTTTTGCCCAATCTATATGTCTATTGTGTTTCTATTCTCCAAGTCTTGTTATTATAGCTCGTAAACCCGTACTTTCTGAGATCTATGAGTCCATGCAGGCGGAAAGACGGACATTTTGATACCGACATGTCTTGTCATACTGATCGAGAATATACTATATGTACATATAGTATATACATATGTGGGGATTGTCACTCCTCTCTGTATGTTACCAAGTATGTACATTCGCACTAAACTAGTATATCCTTTGGATACAGGGCATGCAAATTGTTTAAGTGAAACGCCTTTGTACATACATAGATATGCGTTAGGAGCTTAAAAACTTAATTGGAACCCCTTTAGCTTTATATACAAGTATGTTATGCATAGCCGTGTGTAACTATATAACAGACTCCATGGACTATCGCGTGAATGCGGCACCTATGCTCGTTGACTCAGTTTTCTAGCGCTCGTCCACTTTATGGCCTGCGACAGTAACAGCAACAACACGCAGTTTTGTTGCTGCTGAAGCTGTTGCCATTGCCCACTGCTTTTATTATGCAAACTAAAAAAAAACCGTTTGAAAAAGAGCGGCGTTCAAAAGTTAAAGTGTTTCCATTTTTCATTTCATTTTCCATTTTTGTTGCTGTCGTGTTTGTGTTGCGCCGTTCCACACAAAAGCTCGGATGTTTCTGTGTGTGTGTGTGTGTGTGTGTGGGACTGTGTGTTGATGTTAGTGTTAAAAACACCAACTTCTTATATGCATACATCCACACATACATACATACTCGTAGTCGCAGATATGAAACATATGAAAACCGTGTGCAGAGCGCGTGAAAAAAAGAGCGATTCGAGTGCTTGTTAGACAAGCTCGGCAGCACGTTGGATGCAACAAAAAATAATAAAAAAAAATAAATAAAAAAAAAATAACAAAATACATAGCTTCTGAGCCCGCTTTGGCGCTAATTGGATGCTAAAGGTGTTATGGGTGCTATGTTACGGTATCCATCCTTCCAGCAGAAGTTGCAAAACATCATTACCAGGACGACGTGGAGAAGCTCGGCTCAATAATTACTTTTTCCATCGCATATATACATATGTATATATATATATCCATACACACACACACACATAGGTGCATCACTTTTTGTTGCTAAATTATGTGAAGAATAGTTTGGGCTGTTGCCGCCTCTCAGCACCGGCCTGCCGCTTAATGTGATTAAAGTTGGCATAATGATGTCTCATTAAATTAAATGGCATCATTTTCCAGCACTGGTGCGAGTGCTATGTACATATGTATGTGCTAATGTGTTAGAATAATTTTCTTGAAGTATGATGCCTACTGTTTGATTTATATGCGCAGCCGAAGCTATTGGTTGAAGAGCTAGGAGCTTCCATTGAAATGCACCTAAATGCGTAAACGTTTACTATGAACATATATTATATTGTTACAGATCAGCAGCTAGTCTGGGCATACTATATGCCATGACATTTATTGCTCAATACTAGCAAGGTCGTACGCAGGGGGGGGGGAGGGGCGCCTACCGCTGCCCCCCTACTCATCCCATCAAAAATATTGCCATATCAAGTCGACGACATATTTATTATTATGGCTCACTAATTCGCCTTAAAGTGGAAGTGAGTTGGATTTGATAAATTATTATTTAAACGCATCGTGCATTATTTAATTATAATTAAACATTTAATTTTTTTGCCCCCCTTTGATAAAAGCCATGTCCTTGAATACTGGCAATCTGCTGACAAATTACATAAATGAACACTTGGCAATCAATTAGCGCAATTCTGCGCACTTATCCGCCAACTATGGGGCACATAATTGAATGATTAAAGGGAATTAATTCTCCTTGATTGATTTTGCGCTTCTGTAAATGTGTTCAGGTTCTCTACGACAATTATTTATCGACTGTTATCTACATCTATCTATGATACTTGTATTATCTCCCATTTGGCGCTTCGCTTTGTGTATCATTTATTATCATTGTTATATACGTATATTAAGTATATACATATATAATCTTAATTAGCATGAGGAAAGATAGCGTTCTAGACATGTCTGTCTGTCGTCTGTCTGATTGAACGCCCGTTTTTCGGAAGCGGTTGGGTCCAGGTTACCGAACTTGTTATGTAGTCTACATAACTAATGTCCAGGCAAGACAAGTTTATTTTATTTTTGATTTTCGCCCCCCTCCCGCCTCTATAGAAATTTTTTAATACTGTCCACGCTTCGGGAGCTATATAAAGTACACCTAATTCTGTTTTTACATGGCAGATTGGTTCCAGAAAAAGTCGTGTAAAAAAACAGTGTAAAATAAGACATTAATCATATGTTATTTTGAATCGTGCTAAATGGAATAAAGTCGTGCAACCATAAATACAATATTTAATTTTCAAACCGGTTTAAATCAAAACCGTGTAAAAATAGAATTAGGTGTATACATATATCATATGTACATATATATGTACATCTGTACGACCACTACACTATACAAGGCACATAGAATAGTTGCGTGTATTTCTCAGAATTTCTCTCTCTCTCCCCTCTTTCCCGCAATTAGTGATTTTCCTCAACTCCCGCAATTATTTTGTCTAAAATTTGGCAAATACTTCCAGTCAGGGATTGTGTTTTCGTAGGCCAAGTTTTATTAAAATAGGTCAATTTGAAAGGAAGTTATAACCATATATGTAATATCTGCCCAAGCTCTGCCCGCCGCTATTATTGTTGCTGCTTTGCACAGGAACTCCCAGCGACACACAGCCACACATAGAGCCACATGGACAGAATTCTTTTGTAAATACCCAAGGCGGTATATTCGACCAAAAAAATGATTGTAATATTACAATTTCGTGACTTTTTCAATTTTTTTCATTTTGTCAAATTTGTATAATTATTCTACACACATGTCCAACGTACTTCAAAGTCGGGACACCCGGCCTTAACTTATTTACTTGTTTTTAATGCGTCTTATGCCAAAGGTCCATTACCATAGCAACGATCGACACAATTAGGAAATCGCAATCAAGTGCCTAGCCATGATCTAAATGTTCAGAGAGATAAGAGAAGCGGATACTGTAGCGTTCAACCCGTATGAGAGTGTAGTTGGTGCATTAAAATCTGATATTTTGTTCGGTACTTTTCTGATCATCCTACAGTCCTTTTTATTGACAGTCAGTCGAGTAAGAAGTTCAGAGTTTAGCGTTGAGCCTGCCATTGCATCAATAGGTCCGACTATACAATACAAATGCACACACACACACGCACATCGATTAACAACAATACAATCCGTAATGTTGGCGACCAAATCGTATAGGTCGTGAAGTTGGCCGAAACAATACACAAATATCCATAAATAGGAGCACATAGCCAAATACATGAAC